TTTTATCCAAGTTTAAAGCAAATGATTTTTATGTGACTTATTGATCAAGACCATAATCTTTATTTGCTTGCTTTATAAGGCAACTATACTTGAAAATTGCATAGACGAGTATTTCTTGAGATAAATTTATAGATTTTGTTTGTTTTTTTCCATGAATTAGTGCTTTATTCACTATGTTGGAACAATGTTTTCTTTTAATTAAGTCGAATATTTCACCCTATCTTTCAAATACCTGCAACTAATTTTCAATCATCTATGCATTTGCAATCACTACCATAAGATAAGTAGACAAAATGGAGTAATATTTTGGCGCTGGCAATTGGCTGAATTATCCACCACCATAAGTTTCTCAAGATTTAGAAATAAAACCATGACGTATTAATTAAGATATCAATCTAGTCCATTGGACACAATTAGAATAGGTAGTGATATAATTTTTTCAAATTCTGACTTAAAAGAAAAGCTTCAATAAACTGATAATGTAGCATATATTTAAACATAGTCTATTGTCCCACACTTTTGGGAAGATTTCTTTAGTAAGAGATCAATTGAATGGTTCGACTGGAACTTGAAGTAGGAAGGGATAGGAGCTGGAGAGAGAGTGATGTGGCAGCTACTTTTCCAACTAACTGTCAACCATGTTTGGAAAGCAAGGAACAAATTTGGAACAAGAGAGAGGATTATCGCCTCAAGATTTCCCACCAGCTCTAGGGCACATGGCAAAGCAAACAAAACAGATACTCATTAATGGGAATGGAAGATCACCAAAGCAGGAATGTTTTATAAGATGGATTCCGCTAGTTGAAGGGGCGGCTAAAGTAAATGTAGATGGCGCCTCTAAGAGAAATCCTAGAAGAGCAGGAGTGGGAGGGCTCATTAGGGGTGAGAAGGGTATATGGTTGGAAGGATTTGCAAAGAATGTAGGACTGGCAAGCAACATAGTAGCAGAATTATGGGGGATTCTCAAAGGAATGAAGCTGGAATGGGAGAAAGGATACAGGAAGGTAATTGTTGAGTTTGATTCAAAAGTGGGATTGGAATTGATAGCAGAAGCAGCGGCCACATCACCTTATCACAATCTAATCAAGCGGATCAGAGCCATGAGGAATAGAGAATGGTCATGTATCCTGCGACGCACTTGAAGAGAGGGGAATAGATGTGCAGACTGGCTAGCCAAGAAAGCAACTCGATCAGTCACAACTACCAAGAGGACTGATAGAAGAACCACCGATAGTACTGAGGGAATTCTTACGAGTTGATGTAATTGGGGTAACAATCCCACGTTTAGTACCATGTTAAGAGGCTTTATGCCTCTCCTTTGTAACCAAAAAAAAAAAAAAAAATAGTCTATTGAATATAATTGCACCAGGCTTAACCACTACATAACAGAATTAAATATTTCAATCCAAAACTCAATTTATCTAAGAGGTCAAGATTGTAAAGCTACTGTTTAATCCTTCAGTTTATCCGATAAAGCAAATACGGGCTGATGAGGTGCTTCGATTCCTTAGTTATGACTTTCTCAAGTTCAAGTTGTTTTCTTCTCCTCTCAGAATCGTGCAATTGAACCCGTCTTGTTGCATTAATAAATTTTGTTCTCGTGGAAAACTGTAACATCTACTTTTTTTTATTACATTTTTATTTTTATTTTACAAGTAGACATATGAAGGGAATGTGGCTGGGGATACAACTGTTGAATGCCTACTACTTGCTCACACTCTTATCATAGCAACTAGTTTCACCAAGCCAAGATTCTTCCCTCTTCGATAATATTTTTGGCTGCGTATTCCTTTCCTAAGAATAGACCTACTATCTCAATTTTTGCTATCTTAAATGGTTGATCACTAGTTTCATCATTGACTCCCCCCTTGTGCATTATCATGCTAGATTAAAAACATCAATGGGTCATCAAATAGCAAAACCACAATAGTTGTAGAGGAATGATGGTTCAAAATGTCCTTTGAACTGGTCAAAATAATTGGTTATCGCCACCCAAGTACCACCAAAACAAGCAATTAGATCAAAAAAATGAAAGGTGAATCTAGCAACAGAATTAGCTTTCAAATCCTCAGATTAGGAACTAAAAATCCAGCTAGCGAGATGAATAAATTGTGGACGACACAGGTAGAAATTGACCAAATTGCTATGTCTTCTAAGTAAGACATAAATGGTGGTTCTAGCATCTATATACCATCTCCATTATGCAAGTTTAGAAACATCATAGGTCTTCTAAGTATTAAAAAAAAAAAAACTTTTTAACATGAAACTTTATTAAAAAAATTACTAATAATATGCACAAAATTCCAACCAAACTATCTTTGACCTATAGGCTCACGTGTTCTACTCCAACTATGCCCCATGATTCATTAATGAAACAGTCATAACAACAAATTTGTCCCACGAACTGTGTCCCATGACTCATTAATGAAAGAGTCATAACAGCTAAGTTATGTCAAAAGTTAAAACTACTCTCAAATGTATCTCATAAGTGTGCGTGGAATAGTGTCATTAAACATTTTTCTCAAAGAATCATTGTAAAAAGAATCGTTTTTTTTTTCAAATTTGCTTTTGTGTGTTGAATTATGACTAAGAAAAAATGATAACAAACTACCATTTTTTCTCTGATTTCTATTGTATGTATATATTTTGCCCATGATATTGAGGTATGTTTGATAAAAGGAATAGGTCAAATGTAAGGTTTAAATTTTTGACACCCTGATTGGTAAAGAAAGATAGTGATATTTCACATGAAAAGTAGAAGTCTATGCATTAGTATACACTTAGCATTCATGCTTTCAATGCATGTTAATGTAACTCCCGACTTTAACCGAAGAAAATATTTGCAAATTGAATGGAAAAGCAAGTAGATATATGTTATTTAAACAAAACACTAGGTAAAGTAATGTATAAAATGTAATATTAACCCATAGAGTAAGTTTCTTTAATCCAAATATATACCTTTGGAACTTATGTGACATTTTGTGCTAATGTTGTATTTGTTTCTATAATTATACACTTAATTTAGCCTTTGGACTAAAGATTAATAATATCATAACTAGTATACAAAGATAAAATATAATTCTCCATAAAATTCAAATATTCGAACTATTTTCTTAGTTTGTAAAATATAAACATAAATTAGAAGCTCCTAGTGATGAAATTAACATTTTAGAAAATATAGCATCCCCACTAAAGTCAGGATCAGTTTTATAACATTGAATCGTATAATTCTTGAAATTGTAAATATCTTTAACAATTGTGATTGCAACTTGAGGGTATTTGTGAAATTGTTCTTTTACCTTACATAATAAGGTTTTATTTTGTTTTAAATGCATATTTATTGTAAGCATATTTACTAAATAAATGGAGAAGGTCTTGATTTTCATTTATTATCACTAAAAATCTTAGCTTGTTTTACAAAGCTTTACATACACGAGGTATCATAAACTTGATGACAAAATTGTCCTAATTGATGACAAAGTCCAAAAAGGAAAATGAAGTATAGTTTTTGGTATAAAAAGATGGAGCTGTCTAATGGTTACTGATGACCATTTCTTGGAGAGTTCATTATGTTTAACAGTGTAGTTAATTTGAGAAAATATCTAAATGCAAAGCCGAAATAAATGTGAATGTGTTAATTCACATAGTAAATTATATATATATATATATATATATATATATATATATATATATATTAACAGTGACCAATGAACACCCATTAGAAAAATTCTAAAAAATATATAGGCTTTGTCCACATGCTTAAAAAGGCTCAAAGTAAAAAATTTTTTTTTTTTTTAAACATCATACCTAATTATTTGAAATACTAATATAATACGATGTCTTAAAGACTTACATAATGTGCTTTCTATTTGCTTTTACCATAAACTCATGCTATAATTCACAATATCTCTTTTAAAATGATGAGAATTTTGACTTTGTGCTTATATTTTAATTTCATTCTTTGCCTATATAACTAGTCTTCTAGGATTGAAAGTCCTCTTGTTTGTTGTACATTTTTTCAAAATTGATCAGCAGATGTGTATATGGTGTAGTTCTCAATGTATTTAGGGTGGACAAAATAAGGTTCTTGGTTCTCTTCTCGAAAAGGTTGATGAGGATTAAATGAGTTAAAAGTTAATAATATGATATGAGCAGTTCTTTTTGGAGTATAGATAACTCACAAACAGTCTTAATCCAGATCTTCTAAAATTCAATCTAGAAGCACATACTTTATTAGACTTCAAAAGCATATTGGCTATCTTTGACGATGTTTAAGTAAAGAAGATCTTCTCTAATTTGCCATGCACTTGGTAAGAAATTGGAATTTGCAATGATAAGACTGCTCTTAAATCTATGCAATTTTATAATCTTTTGCTTTTGTCCCGAGTTTGTACAAAGTTAAGAGGTGTTTGATTCATCTCCAGATTTGGGCTTGAAATATGCATTATAAATCCCAGTGTGTGTATCGATTTTGGTCTTCATCTTTATATGTTTGATTTAGGAGTGGAATGGATTTTACTTGATATAAGTGTTAATCAATGTGAAAGTTGAAATCCAAACTATAAGTGATGAATGAAAGGGGGTAAGATGCAATACTTTCTTTCCTATTGGATAATTTCATAGTAGTTTATCAAACAATAGGTATGAGTATCATCAATTTTGAGACCCATTCCTACCCCTTTTACCAATTTACCAAACACCGCATTATTCAATTTCATCTGGTTAGATTTCATTGTTGTTCTTTAGCACATGGGAGCTGATCAAGATATAGATTTAAAGAATGGGAATGTAGGATGAAATTGGTATCATCTTTGCTTAGTTTTTGGATGCCAATAAAACGTGCAAAAAGATTTATCTCATAACTGAGGAAAAAAAATTTCTATCTCATGCATTTCACAATATTACACAGCAAGTAACATAGCACAATTAAAAGAAGAGGCTTTTTAAGCATGCACTGCAACTACATTGACATGTTCTTTTATATAAAAATCATAATTTAAGGGGCAAAACTTGAAAATCTCATCATTTAGGTTTTCCATCAACAATGCATTTACTCAAAAGTTTGTATGTAACTTCAGTATAGAATATACAGCTATCCATCAACAATGCATTTACTCAAAGGTTTTCCATCTGTGGCTGATCATTTCATGTCTGTGTTGCCTGCTCATTACTTGGGCAGGACTTGCACAATTAACTATACTTGCAACATCATGAATGTTCACCGGTATGGAAAAACACTCGCTGAGATGAATGGGTAAAAAACCATGGGTTGCTTCATTATTTATTCAAAGCGAGGAAAAAAATCTTTTGAACTAACTCCTCTCTGCCTTTCCTCCATTATGCTCCTTTCATGTTCATTCACAAGCAACGTTCATTGGTTCATCCGCAACATTCACTTCACTGGCTTTTGTTTGAATATTTTCGTTTTGATCATCCACGTATGCTTGCGAGCTGACAACATGTCCCATCAAATTTTTATGCTTAAGATTGCCTGCAAAACATATATCACACGATTTACTAAGTATTTGCCAATGGGAGTACAGTTATCTAATTAAGATCCCTCAAACTACTCTCAAAGAATAGGTCTAATTGAGGAAAAATCTCAACCACATTAACTTATATACTCCATGGATGTGGTTATCACTCGTATCATGAGATCCTTCCAAATAACTCCCTATTTGAGTATTGCACAGCAATATGATTCTATGAAGCACGATATTTGATTCAAGAGTTGAATGTGGTTGCTTTTAAACATGAAAAATTTTCATTTGGACCATTACTTCAAGCCTTCAAGGTAAAAGACGGATCAATCGCCATTAATATCAAGGAAAGCAAGAGTGTCTAAACAAAGGTAAACACTGAACTTGCACGCAAGGCAATAAAATGAAAACCTGAACAATTAATAATCCAGTGTCCATTAACATTAATTTCTAGAGGTTAAGAGGAGCTTGCATACCCATCCAAAAAGTGCATTCACTTGTAGCGTGAAGAAGAGCCTTCACATGAAATAAGAACCTCTCCATTGATCTCTTTGTAGCAGGAATTTTACTGGTGATAGCTGTTTGTTTTGACACCTTCCATGAGAGAAGCATTGCAGGTTATGACTCATTATGTCTAGAAGAAGTAGTATGCATTCTCACTAAAGAACAATGAAATGTGCAAACCTTTGCTTCAGAGCACAATGTCTGTATGGTTCTTGTTGCTTTCTGGAGCTCCTTAACCTGATAAAAAATGCAGTAACCCAACAAAAGTAATTCTGGACTCTGATCTTATGGATGCTCATTTGGTTTAAGCCATAAACCAATCAACTCATCTTACCATGCTAATTATCTGCTCATTGTGCATTTGAAACTGGGCCTGAAGAAAGCCAAAAACTGGAGAAAACTCAATTAACTAGAGTCTCTTAAGCGGTTGCATCACCTTGAATTTAAGTGGCAGACAAGTACCTTTTAGGAATGAATCTACAAACTTTCCTCCATACTTGACAGCCATTCCATGCACGCTAACCTGTATATCATCTTATTTATCAAAAATCTTGGCTGCTTCATCCAGGAAAAAAGTTGATCAAATCGTAGATATATAGCAATCACCTTATCATGGGTCCTGCACATATTAACTAAAGATACAACCACATTTACAGACTGTTGTAGTCTGTCCAGGAGTTTTTCTACATTTTCAACTTTAGCAGCAGTTCGAGGCTTCTCTAACCAGGCAACCTCCTTAATCTAAGAAAGTGAAACAATTAAACAGACTTCAAAGCAATGAAAAGTAAAGTGTATATTCACCCACCATTGTATCTATAAAATGAAAATCAACTATGAAACTCACCAACTTATTTATTACAGCCAGGTTCTCTTCATGCTGCATGATTACATTATCCTGTGTTACCAATGACTACAAGAATGAGGAGTCACAGAAAGCAGAAAAGTGGTAATTCCTCACCATGACTCGGTACCAAGAAACAAAAGTTGAAGGAGAGAGAGTAGGCAACTCCTGATCATCTTCAACTGCAGTTCTTTGTGAAGTTACCTATTGCAAAAAGCAAAATACCACTCACACTGGCATCATTACATGCCAAGAAAGCTTTGCTTGTAAGTTTTAACAGCACAAAAAAAGAAGAGAGAGAGAGAGAGAGAGAGAGAGAGAGAGAGAGTCAAAACTGTCTAAATAGAACGACACTTGTACATGAAAGATGTTCAACAGAAGTACACATCCATGTCTCTTCTTGACCAAAATGTTATCAGCTCCCCTTAGTTGGCATATAACAAAGAATTAATTACTCTGAGTACTTGATAGGCAAAAGTAGTTGGAACCATGGTTTACCCTACTACATAGCTGACTTTCTAATATAACACTTTAACAAAGGTAACAAAATCTGACAGCAATACAAAGAGCAAGAGAGCTAGTGTATGAGCATCCAGGCATAATAATCCAAACTATGACAGCATCCTTAGCTGTTTGGAAAATAGACAAACATATAAAGTAGATAAGGTAACTATTCAGAAATGACCAGAAGAGAATCTGTAGAAAGGGAAAGACCAACTCATAGCAACTTAAGCCTATTATGAGTGAACCTGTACCATTTAATAAACTTTTTATACAAGCTAAATTCTCGGGGAAAAAAACTCCATCTGCCAATGAATGTGATTAAATGAAATGAACAGCATTGAAAAATCTAGGGAAGTCTTTACCGATTGCCACTAATTTATCAGAATTTGTTCTGATTAGAAGAAAGCCCTAATATTTAACAATCCAGCAACAGCAAATCAAGGAATACTCCTACCTAATACAAGTTAATACTCTTTGTATTGCAATTTGGCATAACTCTTTGATTCAAGGAATATTTTGGCATTAAACACCGCATCCAGCAAACAAATCCAATTAGTTCCTTTTATTATCCTTTCCAGGGTGTAGCCTTCTAAGTTAAAAAAGACCAAAAGGAATAATGCTGGATTTCATCTTATATATGAGAGTCTCATTTAACCATGCTCCAGGCTTCTCTTATGGTATAGTGACTCGTAATCTGGACTTAGGACCACATAAAAGAAAATAGAAAGACCAAACCCAACCAATACTGAAAACCCTATAAGGTACACCGTGGTCAGACACCAATACCACCATCCTGTTTAGACCCATACATGATTTGGTGGAACAGTAAAGCTAAACATATTAATTGTACCAAAGGGTCTAACAAAAGCAGCACTCCATCTTAAAATTTGTTCAACCCAAGTATTGATGTCTTACTAACTGAAGATGGGTCACTCGTAGAGTAACAACCAGGGCAGATATTTTCAGTCTGGTTAGAATCTGGAAAAGAGAGAATTTCTATCCTTTCTCAGAGTATGGATTTTAAAGCCCAAATCCACCATCAAAAAAATTAAGCTGTCTTACTTTACAAATTGGACTACTCGGATTGTGACCTGCTACTCCTTCCTAGTTATGCAAAGACTAGCCGATTTACCAAAACAGGGAATATAGAGGTAATATATGTTTGTAGGAAAGACTTCTCTAAAAAATATTGTCAAGCATATACACTGGGTTAGTGCATCAGCAGCTGACAGCTTTCATTCTATTGATGGAACTTGACTTCTCTAAAAAGTACCGTTCAATGAATTCTTATTTAAGCATAATCCAAAATTTAACCTTCATGTACAGTGAGAGACAATTAATAACAGTTGAGACAGATGCCGTAAAACATGGAACTATTTTGTTCAGATATATTTCAATGTAGAGGAATCAAGCCATATCATCTACAACATCGAAACTTCTCCTTTGTGCACAACGAGAGCATTGAGAACATGTCCTGCCACGTGGTCACATTATTTTTCAGGATTATAAACTACCCAGGTTTTTGATTGACCCAAAAACAAAGTGCACATGTTCGAGAAAGTAAATGAGTGAATCTTTAGTTTGGACCAGAAGTAGTCAAAGTAAAATAGGATACACCAACCAGATGGTATGAATTAGCTTTAATCAGGTGTGTATGACAAGCATTCAGCAAATAGTTAATACTTTTAATCCTAGTGAAGCTTGTATAAAAGGGACGAAAACACAAACAAGGAAAGTTACTTGGAAATAAACAAACCTGAGGCAAGATAGAGCAAGCCAACTCATTTAGTGAATCAGAAGTAGATTGACAATTTTCCAAATAAATGTGGAGTACCTTCTGAACTATTTGTCCCTGCATATATCAGGAAAAGAATCATCATTTACTTCCCTAAAGCATATCTTATCACATCAAAAGAAATCAATCTAACTCCTATCCACAATCAGCACTACAAAAATGAATTCTACATACTTTAATTTATGAACTTTTGTCGATTATATCATCACGCTTCTGAAACAAAAGTTTCTGTGCAGAAGCTCCCAATCTGTTTCTCAGGAAAATAAGGAGTTCTTTAGTAGATCCAGGGTCAATTCCTTTTGCACTCCCACTTACAGATTTATCGAGGAACTTTTGGATGGAAATAGTTACAGACTCCAAGGCCACAACCACTTCTGAAGCCAGCTTATATGAGATGGTCCTTGCTGCAGGAAACATTTATCATAGTTAACCTCATAACTTTGACAAAGTAGACGAACATCTGCAACACAAACTAATAATTCAGAGTAGCATACCTGCATCAAAGACCCCTTCCAGGAAATAATATGTACCACAGTATAGGTAATCTATACTTCCTGTTGCAGGAATGAGTTGCATGCCTTGAAAGAAAGAGTCTGGTATGTTAATTGACTGGAATGCTTCAAGAAGGTCTGAAAGAGCAGTTTTATCATTCAGAATATTTGTAAGATTTAGTATCTGCATTTAGAAAACAAAAAACAAAGCTTTTAGTTAAAATTTACCCTTTTGGGAAAGAAGGGGGTGCAAATACAAGCATAAACTATTTTCCTTATCTCAATCCTCACATAGATCTGGCAGACAAGGGAATTATAAGAAGGGCGGAATACCTTGCCAAAGCAACAGAGTGTCTCAACAAAGACAAAGCCGTGAACCAATGATTTGGAAACAACCATTTTAACTATGCTTGGGTTTCCTGCCAAAGTCGAATAATCTTTCCAATGATATTGACAAACTTCATCCCCTGCAACTATTCTTTATAAGCTTTAAAGGACATGAAAGGAAAATAGTTTCAAATTTAACTAATGAATGATGCTCTGCTCTACTACCTTCTTTAAGACCACTAATGGCACAATCCAGATTTCCTTTAAAAAATGGAAATAGTGGACGAAGCTGGTGTAAGAATTCAGCTCCTTTCATCTCACTGAAACCAGGGTGTAGACTCATCCATTGAAGAGAAATTTGTTTGCTCAGAGGACTAAAGTAGTCCAGCTTTTGGTTAAGTTCTCTTAACAGATACAGGTGAAGAGGTAACTAGAACATAAAAAGGATATCAGATGCAAATGTAATAAACCAAAGTAGAAAGTGCAAAGAATTATAAAGGGTGTTGTGCCACAGACAAAATGTGGTTACTTGCAGCAAATCATGATATCTGCTTCATCAAAAAACTACTCCGAAGCCAAAAAACTCATTTATAATCCAAAGTTAGAGATACCTCAGCAGAAGGATCACTGCAGCAAAGTTCTTGATTCTGCATATAGGGACCAAATAAATAACTCATCAGATCCATTTCTGACTATCATTAAGTAATTAAGATATATGCCACAACCAATTGTCGAGATCTTTGCATCTCCCAGCTGTAACAAAGAGAATATGAAAAAGTCCAAAAACTGCTAATGAGGACTATAAAGGTACTTTTAGTACGATACTTACATAATATTTTTATGTTGTCATGAAAAAGTTTGATCCAATTATATCAATCACTATAAACAAGAGTATTGTTTGCAACTCCAAATTCCTGCATTACTTCCAGGACTGGAAAGTTGAAATATAGATTGAACCATCTTTCTAAACATTTGCATGTACCAAACAAAGTATATAACTGAAATACGTATACATAAAGTAACTGCAAGTACCAAAGACACTTGCTAACTGAAGGTTATAGCAACTTTCATATCCTCACATGATCCGAAAGCAACACAATGAGCTGGGTGACAAGTCCACTAAAATTTTCTATCTAATTCAACTTACTCATTGGGTTAGGCAATGAAAGCTTCTCTCTCACCTATGAGGCAGGATCATCTAAAAATACTTCATAATCTGGATTATAATCAATATCACTGAATTGTCTAGAAGAAGCTCACAAAATCCATTTTTCACCTCTGTTAAGATTAGCTGGCCATAGATCTTATTACAAACACATTAGCAACAATGGACGTGCAGAGGAAGATTTCTGATGGACAGATACAACACATGATGATCCGCAAATATTTGCCCTATTTCCAGTGGAGCAGTAAATGTAGTTACTGCCTCTACCCTTAAGGACTCCATGAGTTCTGAGATATATCTCAAGCTTTCAACCTGATCAAACAACACCGCTGAATAGAATATTCCAGTATCACCACCACTGAACCAAAAATATACAATTAAATATAAACACATGAAAAGAAAAAAGCAACCTCTGGAACCACTTCTTCTGGGTCAATAATAAATTCGTTTCCATTTCCCAAGTTACAATGATCCAACTCTTAATTGTTTAACTTCTCTAAAAATTGCTTAAAAAACAGTTATTTACTCTCCTTGAAGTAGAATTTTTTGTGAAAAGGCATGATGTAATGTGTTTCCCAGAGCAAATTTTAACATTAATACAAAAGAAAAAATTGTAATAAGAGTTAGAAAGCGAAAGAGAGATCTTGCCAGACAGATTCTAGTATAAAAGAAAGCTAGAGCTGGCTTATATTTAACAATTTCTGCTTCAAAAAAGAGCATGGAATGAAACCATTCACAGGTATATATATTTAAATGACAAACCATCCAGCAGTTGTATGTTTTACTTATCTGTACAGTCAATTTAAAACCTGCAGGAACGTAATATTGTGTTTATAAGTTATTCTTTCATTTTATGATTATTGTACTTTGACTGGTGTATATGTGTTTTAAGGAAAGGATAAAACTTATTTGCCAAAAAGATTTCAATATGGATGCAATCTAGTACAAAATTAATATTGGGTAAGAAGGTGACAACTGATTTTGTGTTCACAAATATACTACATGATTATCTCTCCCTTACAACAATGAATGACTAAAGAAACATCAGAGGCATTGCTTAAACGGTTAAATTGGAAAAGAAAACCAATTTAAAGCAACACAAAACTAGGAATCTCAAAGGTATAGAGTTTCACTCGCAGTAGACTTTGTTTGCTTGTGACGTCTATTTTTCTGAAAACAAAACATGTATGACAAATCATTTGACAAAGCTAAAGCTTGGAACGAAAGTTCAAAAGGAATTTTAATTACTGTTGGTCAGAGAACTTATGGGCCTATACATACACCTAAAAGCTACTTCCTTAAATGCCTTTAATCCTCATAGTAACAAAACTATAACAGTCCTTAAAGAAAACAAGAGTTTTTGAGCTTTTGGTATCAAAAAATTGATAAATAAATAAAATGAACTCTTTGATTGAAAAGAATTTGCATGCAGACACCCACAGTTGTGTAAGTTTTAGTTGTCCTCTCCTCTAGAATCATAAAAGAATATCTCAGGAACACGAAAAACATGTAAAATCGATTGAAGTTCTGAAGTCAATTGAAGTACATCTATCAAAATCAACTTTTGTGAAACAGGCCAAGAGCAAGGTAAGAGAGAATGGAGGTGATCTCAAGAAAGCAGAAGAGGACAAACAGAGGCAACCACACAATATAGAATATTTCATTAATCAACTCAATGAAATAAAGATTTTTATCGATTATTTGTAGACTTTCAGATCTAAGTGTAAAGGTAATTTCCTGAAGAACAATACAACTCACACTAACAGCATAACATGTATATCACAACGCATTTTCAAAAGTTGATAAACTTAACCATTAGATAGTCCACAAAACTGACGTGATATCTAATCAAGTTCCCCATTATGTCAATCTTTCCTGAGCCTTCTACTGCCTTCAATTAGTCTCATTCTTAATCCAACTTACCAAAATGATTGAGATGTCCAGTTAAATAGAATATAGTGACCAATGCACCAATTTTTACAACTAAAGTAGACAAATGTTCATACCTTTTTAAATGCTAAGATGGAATAGCAATGAACTCGAATAGGCCTGAATTTGTGTTTTTGTGCTTCTACCTTCTTCACAGCTTCAAAAATTTCTACAGTTCGTATGATAACGGAATCAGGTGCATCCTTTTTGCCATCCTCGCACATACTGCCCTTTGGCATCTTACCAGAGGAATCCTCATTCAGTATTTCTTGGCTTGTTATGCTGCCGGCATTTTTCAGCATTTCGATGATTGTTGGCTGCTTCAGTTTATCATCCACAGTTGAAGACTTTGATACTTTTGACGTTTTTCTGATATTTCTCTTGCTTTTCTGAGAGACACTTCTATTTTCTTGAATAAGCTCACTTTTCTTTTCCAAATCTCCCATTTGATATTGGCTTGAAGATAGGGTCTCCATACGAGGGTAGAGCTCTGGCAAGCATAGGGGATACTGTTTGAGAGACTCATTTATCAAACTCTCCAGGAATCTGCAAGCACACTTGTTAGCATTGCACCATAATGTCATCACAGCACAATGCTCACTTATCAAAAGAATTATCACAAAAAACAATTCAATAGATAGTTAATGACGGGTTTGTTTGAAATGCTCACATAAGTACATGTTAAATCAACAGTGGACAAATACAAGTGAGCACGTATGCATGCCTGTGCAAATTCTTTTAATAGCTTCACACATGTTGTTTCTTACAATGTATCTGACCTGGATCTGCCATCTGTCCTTCATAGAGTTGTAAACGAGTGAACAGCATAGTGATCAAACTTGTTTGTTTATTTTAACAAGATTGAAATTGCTTCCAGGCTTGCCTTGTTTAGTTTTCGGGCCAAACTCAATGAGCATTATCGAGCCGAACTCCAGTCTTAGCTGAGGTACCTAGCTGGAGCTTTACTTTTCAAGTTTTATGCTCATTGAGCCAAGCTTTAACCTTTAACGAAGCTAAGTCTTGTTCATGTTTAGCTTGATTAGTTAGTGAACCAAGCTTGAACGAGCTCTTATCAAGCTGAACTATTTGAACATTCAATGACTTAGTTCATTTTTCAACCCTAATCCTTGGTCAAAAGAAGAAGTGACCCGGAAAAAAAAAAATCTTTGTAACTTGGATAGCTTTCCTGTTCTTGTTTTATTTCCCAGGACCTGATACAATGACAAAATAACTCTCCCGAAACACCCAGGGGAAGAAACACATCAAGATTATTCTGCACAATTTCGCTTAACCAGTTACAACCTTAGTTGCAATTTTTGAATTAACAATAGTGTTTTCAGTAGCTTTGCCTACAATATACAACATATACACAAAACTAACAACTGATAAAAACCTCATATCCGAACACAGTTTTCAGTTTTACAAGCTCAATTGGAACCATAGACTATTGAAGGCTTGACAGGTCTATAATGTAATTATATGATATGTAAGCTTATGAGGCATGTGATTACGCTGAAAAAGATATTCTTACTGCTTAAGGTTTTCTGAATAATGATTTGGTCAAAGGGAGAAGGTCTTCTACATCAAGGTTTTGTGGTCAGAATCAAAGAGCTGATAAAACCTAGCAGTCTTGTCAACTAAACTATTTGGGAGTTCTAGAATATTCAAATGATTTACCAAAGCCTTTCTTTAATACTCATCCAAACCTGGATCTCTCTTTGATAAGATCTGTTTGCAAGGGTCAATTATAATATCTCTGTTTCTCAAATTTAGTCTTTCTGAAGCACCCAACGAGTGAACAGAAGAAAAACAGGGGCAACTTGGTTTAGCACTGGGAAGAGCCATGGAAAAACATGTTAAAATTTAAGAATTTAACATGACCCATGATGCCAATGTAGGGCATCAATGTGACACAGTGCACTTGTAAAAGTCAATAGACTCGAATGGTTAACAAGTAAATTAGCACATAAAGTCAAACAGTTGCCAAATGGCCGCACCAACAAGAAGTAACTTGGTTTAAAAAATAAGGTTAAATCATAAAGTGCATCCGTGTCCATGTGTTGTGCACCTAACACATATGTTTGTATACATATTATATATGTCCTTTTCAATGAAGTCTGATCAGTTATACTTCAAGGTTTATTACATGTTAAGGGCTAAATAATATATTTTAAATTTATTACACATTATTCATCAAATAAAGTTTGTGTTCAGTGAACCTTGAAAAAAAAATACATGTTCAAGTATTTACAAGGATGTATACTCGTCTGTTTGGACCTGCATCTATAGTATATCCCAAGTAGTATCTACTGAAACATGATTTGTGTGAATTACTTCCATAGAGGCATTATATCTTCTAATTTACTTGCAATGGTATTTTTATATACATGCCTAATTTATATAAATCTCTCTTTTCAGTATGAATTGACTAGAGTATCCAAGAGAACTTGGTGTTTGGAGTCTTGTCCATAGAAAGTATTTGACTTGTACATTATCCTCAACTTATTATGGCCCTAAGCAAGACAAACAACAATAGGTAGTCTTCCCTGCAAAAGGATCTACAACTTTAAGACACTTTGTCCTGTTTAGTCTAAAACTACAAAGATCTAAAACCTTGTCCTTTATAATGTAGAATACCTAACTGGGGCCTTAAGAACTAAAGTTTAGTTTTCATTTTTTCTTTTTCTTTATAGTGAATAAGACAGCTTCTTAAACTTGGTGTCTATAGCAGCAAGAACAATAGACAAAATAGTCAGATTTTTTTTGCTATTCAATATATTTCTTAAGAACTTGAATGTGATTTTTAAAGCTATTTTGGTTTCTGCATGAAGAATATTCTCCCAAACACTTATATAGGATCCTCCCACAAGTTTTCCAGTAAAAATAGGAAATTATTTGACGAAGTATAACCATCTTACAGTGCACAAGGTATCCTACAGAATATGGATCCAGACTAACTTCTCTTTTTCAGAGGAAATAGGCCATATCATTTTGCAAGATTGAATGAATTTGACTAAGTTCCCTTTTCCAACAAGAGGAAATAGGCCATATCATTTTGCAAGATCAAATGAATTTGACTAATTAACTGGATAGTTCATCAAATCCTTCTTAAAGGCTTCATAGTGACTTTATGATTTTTAAATGACGCGAAAAATCTTAATATATGTGTAAACGTATTATCACTGGGAAACAAGGAAATGAATGTCTTGCCCAATCTGTCATCAGGATTTTGTAAGTTGCTCTATTACTGGACTACTTAGACACATGTAGTGTATCTAAGTGACTGTATATGGATGGACTAGGAAAATACAAGTAGTCATTTATGAGTTTATTTCACGTTCCACTAGGGCTTGAAAAAGAGAGTTTGGCAGAGGAGTAACCTATCATTAGTTACTGCCAAAAAATTGTACAGAAAAGGATGTAAAATAGAAATTATATACAAAAAATTTGAAAAGGGTCCACGAAAACATACATAAGGTTTCTTAAGCGTTTCAATAGCTTAAGAGTAATCTCCTCCTTTGTTGCTTGACTTATGGAGTCAAAATTTTCAGTAACTTGAGAACAAAATGCATTGAGCTATAGAACATAGAAGAAATGTTAGAAATTAAACAAATTATAGTATGACTGTTTACAATAACCCAACAATTTTGTTTAAAAGAGACAAATTTTGACACTTACGAGTTCCCGTATCCAATTAGCAGCATAATAAAGACAGAGAATGATAGTCTGCTTTTGCTTCCCACTCAACGACTGCCACATGGAGTCGGAAAGATACTGATACAGACAAAAAACCAAAAGATACAGACAATTAGTAAGCAGCTAGGACATATGTCATCAAATAATTGACAGGATTTGACAGGATGTCATCAAATACATGACAGTTCACTGGAGACATATGTGTGGGTGCAAACATAGAAAAAAAGCCTCCTAGTTTGATACTTTGTGATGCAAATGAGAATAAACAGCTTAAATAGTTGGATTCATAGGATAATCACTCCTCAATCTTCACCTATGCAGCACTAAGATGCAAAAATCTAATCCTCTACGGGAAGGGGGGCAGCATTGTTTTACATCACATCCTATAGGAATCTGACAATCCTAGTTCTGTGTAGCTGCTGAGAAAATCTCTGTTTAGGGAAATATAAACTGGATCGTGAGATAAACTGTTAAAATCATCGCAATCAGTCCCTTAATGTTAAAACAGGAACATTGTGCAGCTAAACAAGTCAAAAGCACAAAATAAAATAAACAAGATCACATAGCTTTTTACTTGTATTGAACTATTATTGACCATACAAACTATCCGAACTTCTAAAAAAAAAATTTAAAACATCTTTTTCTTCTCTAATGGATGTACTTCTTTGGCTTATAGTTACATCACAATTGCAAAATAATTGTCCACATATGCATAAAGCAAACTGGAGTTGGACCAAAATTTGACATGAAGGATGCAACTATTTGCCAAATTTTTTCTGATATTCTCAGATTTGCAGTATATGATGGTATAATTTCCCAAGCAAGGCAGGTAAATGTGAATGGATCCAAAGACTCAGCTTACCTTAGAAGATGGAAGATGTAAAGGGCAACCCAAAAGTGCGTCAATGCCTCCAAGAGATCCTTGGTTTACCAGACTCTCAATCTACCAAATGATTGACATCAGAAAACAAAATTTTGGCTTCTTTCCAAAGAAAGATAGAAACCAATCCACTTACTGCAGAAAGTAAGACAAAGTAAGCAGGAAGAATCTGTAATGGAGATGGGGACCTGCAGACCGAATAATAAACATTAAAGTGACTCTATAGCATAACATATTCTAGAATAGGTGTACAAATTGATGCTGAGATTCAAGGCAAACTTGAGGATTGAAGGATATGCATTAAAAATTGTTTTCAATCCACTACAAATATAGGGCTTATTCAGGTCAATAATCCTCCAAGTCCAGATTATGCAGAGGAACAGGGGAAAAGTCAGAGCTGTTAGAAATGGCCAAAGTGAAGATCTCAAGGTTGTTTCTCAACATCTCTTTTTATATCTACACCAGCCAAAACCAACCTACTATTATTCTAAATTATAACGCATCTTTCATTGGCAAACCAAATGTTTCTAACACTTATATAGATAGCATACATAAACCAGTTGATCTTCTTTTCCATATATTGTCTTGGAACTGCCAGAAGCATCATGACCCAGCACTCCTTTCCCTTGCCTCTTCCAGAGGTTCACTTCTAGAGCATGAACACGCACACATCAAGCTTTCACTCAGAGCAACAAAAGAAGATAACTAACTTTACATATTCTATCTGCTGAGTTCCATTCAAAACATAACGACTGTAACAACAACAATACATAATTCCAGAGAGAAATAAAAAGGTGGTATCACTTCAAGGTCACTAAGCAAAGCATAGCACACCCACAACCTCTAGCAATCTTGCCCAAAGGTCAATCTATGTTGCAGTAAAGCATTAGTAACCCACCTTAGTTTCCTCTCTACTATTTCTAAGTTGTTTCCTAGTTGCTCAGTGCAGGCAGTTGAAAAATGTTAGCTTGGTTTAGAAGTTTATGCTTTCAGACTCTGGATAATAGTAATGGATGATGGACAACTTCAATCTGGCACATTCAGTCATTAATTTTGCTAACAGAATCCTGAATCTAGAAACTTAAAATCCAAACCACAATACGAGCCTTTGGAAGGTAATTCACCACCATCTAGATCAGATAAAAATTTCGATTCAAACTCTCCTACATGTTTGCCTATCCTACAAATCAAGAATAAATAGATTCAAATATAATAGACTGTTAACCTCACAAGCTACAACTTCTAGTTCTTTTATGCAATTCACCATTCTATGATTGCTGGATGAAGCATCCTGTTTTGCATGGTAGCAGCCAATTCTTCATAAAATAAGATCAGTGGTAAGGGCAACTGCTTGCATGATTCAAAAGATGTTTCCAAGAGTTCAAGAGCTTCCTCATAATTTGACTTCTGTAACAAAAAATTTAAGGGGAATATGGATCATCTTAGAACTTAAATAGGGATGACTTTTGATAACCAAGAAAGTCAAGAAAGAAACAAGGTGGTGGACATGATACAAAACTGGTACTGGTATCATATCATTGTCCAACACTTCATCTAAAGTTCCTAACATGCCAAAGGTGATGTACCCAACAAGAAGAAAAATGGAAGGGAAGAAAGGGCGCAAAGCTTGTTTTTAGTACAAAACCTGTGTTTGAGTGAGTTTATTGTCAAAAAATAATTGAGTTTCTTCTATTTCCTTTTCTAATATGCAGTATTTCCATGTGCAAAGATGATGCGAAGCATGAGCAAAGATGATGTAAGTTGTAATAGTCATGATATATACTTAAAATGTTGCACAAAATTGACAAAGAAAAGACACAACGATGTCCACGTGTCCAGGTCTTTTGCAATGTTGGCATGCCCTAATCTTACAAAATTAACATATGGGATGCCAAGACATGTGCCCATGTCTGACACCTGTAACCAAGTCCATGTAATATTCAAGTGCAGATAGCTCAGTTATTGTTTTAGCTGGCGATCTTACCCAAATGAACAGTATACTAAGCCCATATAAAGTCTTTAAGTGGGTCATTGGTCAGATGTAGTTGCTTAATCAGATGCTGCTGGCAATATGGAGAACAATGAGCATGCAACATTAGACCATTGGAGCCATGTTTGAATCATAAGAAGCCAAAGGAACAAGAAACATGGTAAACCATGCAAAGAAGACTCACTGACAACTTATGGAAGCTAATCAACATGGAACACAATTAATCAACACGGAACACAAGTAAGCATCAATGCATATCTAAAAGCTTTATTCAGCAACATTCATCTTTGCACACACCAAGCCCGACAATCAAAAGACATTCAATTGTCATACAATCTATCATCATTCCTCATTGTCACCATTTTCTGCCCCATGTGTCTTTAAAAGGTTGCTTCATCTCTTTTCCGTCCAACACCATCTCAATCAAACTCTGATTATGTGATCAATGTCAAGGGTTAGTTTATTAATATGTATAATTATCCCTCAGCAATTCATGCTTTTAAGACTATGGATGCAGGCATTTTCCGTTTCCTATTTTGTTTAGTAATTTAATCTTATCATTCTTTTCTCCCCTTCCCTCCCTCCCTCTCTTCTTTCTACCCTACATTTCTGTGTCTCTCTTTCTATTTCTGAATGTGAATGATCTTTGCAACTCTCAAATCATTTTTCTTTTCTACCCCAACTGTTTCGACATTCAATGTATGATTAAGTGGTTGAGCATCCAATAGAACATAATCAGCATAAAACAGTTAACCCTCCGAATTTAAGGTTCAAGTCTCACATAATCACAAAGCTACAAGTAAAAAACCTGTTTTTACTGTTGCACAGGGGAAGTCAGATCAAGCAATGCAGTTTTCAGAGTTTAGACTGGCTAACTCCATATACTTGTTCAACTTGTACTCAGTGAGATAGATACAGGTGTTGGGAATCAGAAGAGCTTGCTGGTTAAAGTAGAACCATATATGGAAAATGAAAAAAATATATCCAGAATCACTGGTCATTAGACATTACTATGACTGAGAATTAGATAATTGGATTCCTGTGATTATTTTCTCTGGAAATGTAGTTTGGAACTGAAAGTAGTGCAACACTACCTGAGATGGAGAAGAACTAGTTCCATCCCCCAGAAGCGAAACTACCTTCAATGTTCCAATAAGACCCATTCTTTTGTAAGAAAGATCAACATGGTTCACCTAATTGATTAAAAGGATAATTAGAGGACAATCTCAAAAACAAAAACAAAAAATAAAAACAAATAGGAAAATGAAACACAGAAAATTATTTACACAAAAGAAAAAGACATAGGCCACTTTGAAGATATACATTGCGTATTTAAAAAGGTTATTCATTTTCACCTGCTTTCTTATGATCATTAGAAGTTCGTTCTTGATAGAAGATCCACATGAATCTGAACAAGATTGAGCTGAAAGAGCAAGAAGACTGAAAACTTCATAGACCTGCAGAATGAGGGGTACATATTAAAACAAGCACCAGAAGAAATGTCGAAAGTAGTCTGAAATATTAGAATGGTAACCTTGTGCAGGCTTTCAGTATTGAAGCTCTCCAAGTAATCCAAGATACCTGAGTAATAAAGATGTATAATTTAAATAAAACTGTAGTCATGTACTTGTAAATGCATGAGAGATTCGTACCAGTTAGGTGAGAAGCAAGCTGAACCAATTCCTCCGGATGCTTGGAGGTCAGCTTAAGCATGGCTTCCAAAGCAGTATTCACTTCAAGACTGATCCCAGAGCCTACATGGGACGCTAAAGCTCCTAAAATCTTTACAATAAGCAGTACCAATAAACCTAGTGTTATAAAACCCTTCTGTTCTCCTATCAAAATGTTAACATCCAAAGATAAAGGATACTCACTTCCTGTCTTGAATAAGTATCATGAAGCTCCTCAAACAAACATGTATACATGTGATTGCTGAACTCCCTCAGTGTCTTTTCTTTGCATGATGTTAAGTACTCAGATATAGACAGAAAAATGGGGAGATAATCCTGATATACGATACAACACTGACAAGTTAGAAGACAACTTTAGAACTGATCCTATTGAAGCAATACACATCAATAAAATTAAGATAAAGCTTCATTCTACAGACTTTAAAAAAAATTAAAAATGGTTAGGACAGTATACCTGCACCAAATCCTTATTCCCATGTATGCACTGATAAAACATAGCTTCTTCAATACAACCTTCAATGATTTTTTTCTTAAGTAACTTCAGAACACTTTTCTGCAATGCCTCACAATTCATATATACGAGTACATAAAACCACATGTCAATCATCTTATGATCCTGCACTTTCTCAACGCTTTGCAGTACTTTCAAAATCTCCTCGCAAAGCATCTGCAAGTAGAGGAAAATCAATTTACAAACTGCAATGATTTGTAATGAAGGAAGAACAGTAACATATGGCTATATCTGTAGACCTATATACAAGTGAAACCTACATTTTTAAATCTAATACTTGATTTCAATGCATCAAGAACTAAAGCATCTGCATTATTTCCAACAACTTTCCCTTTGAGTTTACTGTGCTGCGTAGCCATAACAGTTGACAAACCAAGAAATTTTAGCTGTTCCCGAATCTTTGATATTATTCGCCGAGCATTCTTTGGTGTAGCAGATAGTAATAAGAATCTGAGAAGGTAAGGCATATCTTCCACCTCAACCGTGCGAATGCAAGACAATGCTACTGCAGTCACCTTCAGAAAATTTGAGAACCAACACATCATAAATAAAGACTAGTAACCAACGGCAATCCAAATATAAACTAGAAACTCTAATTCTCCTGGGCATATAAGGAAAAAATACAACCTGATCTTGCAATAAATCATCTAAGTTGATGTTGGAGAAAGTATCAAGCACAGGAACAATGATAGAAGAATCTTCATGGAGCATCTGCTGAAGTGAATCAACCACAACTTTGTTATGCTGAACCCCAATAACCTCAGGCAAAGACCCAATAATCTCTTTCTTCAAGTGAAGGGGACAAATGGATAAAACTTGCAACAGTTTTTCAGTAAATGCCTGAGAATCCACAAGAAAGTCAAGCCAACGGAACTGGTTGAGGATCAACCGAGCTATATCCTCATCAAGACGCAAGGATGATGTTCCAGAGGTACGATCATGAAAGCCCAGGTCAAAATATTCAGGAAGTTTCTCAAGCAATATATTTTGAACATGTAATTGGATCGCTTCAACCAGCAATAATACTCGCATTAGGCTTTCACTTTTCAGAGAGCCGTTGCTTTCACAATGTGAAGGCAATAAAACCCTGTTATTTTGGAAGTTTATCAGATTTAGTTGACAAAAGAAGCATGCAGAGTCTTTTGTATTTGTTGACTAGTACCATAAACATATTAGACTTCAGGTTGAAAACATTTTTAAAAAAATTCTGTAACTAAACTGATTCAACACACCAGACACGAGAATTAGAATATTGAAAGGCATATATAGGCCACTGATGCATCAATTTCTTTGTCATTTGACAGTATCTAGAGACAAGAAGGTTTATGGTTTGCAACTTATAAATTGGATCTCAAAACGAATATCATGAGTAAGTAAAATGGGCACTAAGTTCTCCGGCATCTTCTTCATCTAAGGACAGAATACGCAGCCATTATGATTTCCTTTCTCTGTTCATCCACTTGTCATTCCTCTACACTATGGTCCAATTTGAGCAATAGATTGTTCATCTCAGTAATGCATTGAGAAACTTAAGCAGCTGAACTCTTTATCCTCCTTTAACATTTCATGAGTTATTTCTTTAAAGACTAATTCTTTCTCAAAATGTCAAAATCTTATAACTATGACACCTCCAAAACCAATTTGTGAAAAATTGCCAATTAACATTGTACTTGTGTACAGTTTAACCTAATTATTTTCATTTACATGGACAGAAAAGTTGAAATGGATTATTCGAAATAATAATTTTAGTATGAATCATACGAACCTTCCAGAATGATAAACTAGCCAGCTGCAAAAATCGTCTAAAATCACATAACATTAAGTATCTTACATAAGAGTGCAAACACTATAGTGCTCAAGCTGATTTGAATATTTTAACAAAGTTTGGCTTGTTTATTTTTCAGGCCGAACTCAAATGAACTTTCACAGAGTCCAGCTAGGGGAAGTAACTTGAATTATGTTGGAATTTTATCCTGACGGAGCCAAGTAAGAACCGAGCCTGAATAATTTTAAGCAATGCTAAATCTGGTTTATAGCTTGATTCATTAGTTTAGAATCCACAAACAAACTGACAGAAAGGAAATAAACAGAGAGAAGAGAAGAAAATGGAACTCTTACAAAACTGGAAGAAGAGAAGAGTGCTTTACCGGCGAAGATTATCAGATGAAACATTGATGTAAGAAGAGAGACCACTCAGAAAATCAGCACGAAGAGCAGAGTCATCAGAAAAGCGGCGTTGAAGGTGGAGGCGGAGCTTGAGAAGGTCAGAGGGGAGACAAGGAGGACCGGTTGGGTTAATTAAAGTGCAACCAGCGTCGGCAAGAACAGAAACAAACTTAACAACAACTGAAGAAGACGATGAAACGCTGTCATTGACTGTTTGCCGGCGAACGTTGGAGGCGACGGCGGCGGCGGTTGATTTGGGGACTTTGGAATTTGGGGGTTGGGCGTAAGGTGGAACGAAGGAATTGTTCGAATTGTGGTGCCGTTTGCGGGAAAGAACCATTTTATCGGTAGATTGAAGTATAATTAACTAATGAATTCGTTGATTTTTGTACGATTTTTACTTCTGCTGGCGGCGACCGTGGTGGTGACGGCGGAGGGAGTAGTGGTGGTCGGGAGGGGAGAGGGAATTGAAAGAAATGAAGAAGAAATGAGGCGCCAAAATTTTAGAGATTGAAGTTTGAAAACCAAATGTAAGAAGATGGGAGTTGTAGACAAATGGTCCCTCGCGTGATTTTTTTTAGTCCCTCCTCTTGAAAAAATGATACATTTGGGTATTTTGGTCACTTTTTTGTGGGAGAAGGTTATGCGAGTGTCATGTTCTAATAACCTGAGGTGGTTTTAGAATTAAAATGAGGACACAAAAGAAAGAACAAATGATTATTATGATTAAATTTAAAAGCCATTTAAGAATAAGAAAGGCATTTTAGAGACATTGTTGCAAGCACCAATTTTGAAAATCAAGACAAGAAAGGATCGGAAGTTGTGTAGAGAAAAACAAGTAAATGTAGAGTTTATATAAGGGTTCAACGTCGTAATTATTAAATCTAGTAAAAGGAGGAATTCATTGAAGCGGATGTATTAATGATTATTGATTTTCACTTATAAGTGAATGGTTGAATTGCTGGATCATGTTTCTCTTAGTTTCTTCTAAATCAACTAATCAATAGATTGAGAAAAATGGAGTAAAGGTAAGAAAGAAAACTAAGAAAATAAGTTAGGCTATTGCATTTTTACTAAAAGCAAAGGAACAATAAGAAGAAGGGGAACTTATAATGACTGACGGATAGCCTTAAAAGAATACAGCCAATTCTCCAATTCTTATGTAAGAATTTCTTAGAAGTTCTAAATGTGTTTTGACTAAACTAACAGAAACAAAATTAGCCAGATATTTTAGCTTGTACTTTGAAACAAATGTTATGTTCATTAGATTGCCTTATTTGCTATGAAGTACTTTGAGCTTGTACTTTTTTAGTGTGCGTAATTGTTCATTTTTTTAATGGCATAATTGTTCATTAATTTGAGTTACTTGTTTTCTACTTCTTTTAATTTCTTTAAAATCGTTAATATTTATCAATTTAATTCACCTACTCTCTTAGGTTGTTTTGAACCAATAATATAGTGCATCCATACTTAAGATAATACTTTTTTTTCAAATGCATAATTACTTTATAATGCACTTGAGAAACTCCTTATTTGGATATATTACCTAAAAATTGGTAATTTTCTATGAAGTCCTAAAAATACTATGTCTTATTGGATCGATAATACCATCAGTCATAAATCATTTAGTTATTCATTTTAATGAAGCTTTGCTCTAATTTGACTTAAGAGTTAGAGGTTTTGGATTTAAGTCCCCCAATATGTAAGTTTAATCTAACTTCATCTTAGTTTTTGTTCTACCAAGTATGGGTTTAGAAATTTTCTTGATTGGTCATAAAATAGAGTATGGAATCTACAATTGTAAATTACAAGTAATCCCAAAAAAAAGGTTTTCATATGATTACAAAATTATCTATTCAGGCAAATTCATATGTGTCAAATTTATAAGGTAATTTTCCTTTATTATTAGATGAGAAAATTTGAAGTATGTTAATTTTATTACGTATTAGAATGCTTACTACGTATTATAATATTCAGTTGATTACAAAAGGACGCATAAACGCTTGATCAATCTACTCTGTATTGTTTATAATGTACAAAAGGTTAAGGCTTTGTATAGATTTTTTAAGGGTTTCTAAAATATTCATCTCTTTTTGAAAAATTGTAAGCACCCAAAGCTTAATTTCAAAAAATGAAAATAAGAAAAGTGTACTTAGTGTGACCAAGTCAACATTCATAGATTGGTCACAGGTACACTTTCCCTTTTTATCGGTCAATAATCACTTAATCTCAATTATTTTGTTTTCCTACATTTTGAAAAAATAATCCTATTAATACATAATTATTTAGAAGACATTCGATTCGTTATTGCTGGAATAAAATATATCTCATTTTTGGGACATTTTACAGTCGACCATGGTTAATATATTCATATTGACAAAATAAAAAATATTTATATGATTGTACCTCACTTGTTCTGGACATAAATATCACAATTAAAAAGGAAATTAACAGAATAAAAAAAACTAATTTCTATTTGTTGAATAACAAATAGAAAAATCCTATGGACTATGACATTTCAATTTTGTCTTTATCTCATCACACTCTTCATAATCCATCCACCATACACACTATGAGGACCCGAAAATTATTTTTATTTTATTTATTTGAATACATTTTCTTTACTTTACTTTATTGCCTCAATTTTCTAAATATTTTTATAAGTGAGTCAAGATTTTTATCATTTTTCTTCTATATATTAGTCCATGTTAAGTTCATAGTACGTTTTGGAAGTGGGACCCACTAGTGAGGTGCATAGTAAATTTAGTGAACCAAAAACGGGTATTTTTATAAGAGGGTTTATGTTATTAGAAGCGCTAAGAGTGAATTAAAGGAAAACAATATGAATTAGTGAAGAGAGACAAAGAGATAGACTTAGGTTGGATGGGTGCTACTTGTCAGCTATCCAAGAAGTCTTGCCAAGACTTTGACCAAGACTTTTCCTTGGTCTTTATCTTGCATTTTCACCAAAATTCCTTCATTTCTTCCTTCACCTTGGCCGAAACTAGAAAGGAGAAAGGGAGAGAAAAGCTTCCATTTTCTAGCCTTGATTCCTTGTTTGATCCATGAGAAATCCAAAGAAAAACACTAATCCATTCCAATAAATCTTGAGGTAAGCTTGAAGGGAAGCTTTTGGTGAAGTTTTGGAAGAAGAAAATCTTGCATCCCTCTTGATTTGCTTGTCTTCTTTGGGTTTGGAGGTTAGGAGGTAAACTTTGCTAGAAAACCTAACTTTCTTGATGTTTATATGATAATCTACTAGTTTTACTTGAGGAACTACTTGGTTTTCTTGATATATGATGATTTCCTAAGTTTACTTGATGAACTACTGGATGTTTCTATTAGGTTTTGAGTTTACTTGATATATGTTGCTTTGGGGTGAAAAATGCATGACTTTTATGGAAAATTTCATGATTTTCAAGCTTATATTGGAATTTCCAGCTTTAATGTTTAATTTCAGCTTTAATAGGAGATGTTCAAGCTTTGGTATGCAATTTCTAGCTTTGATATGAAAATTTCCAGCTTTGAGGTGCAAATTTCCAGCTTTGATGTAGTTTAGTTAGAGCTTTATATATGTGTAAAGTTGATGGCTTTCTTTGCCTAGAACGTAGACTATTTACCCTATAACATGTGATCTTGATTGTTAGTAACTTTGCCATGAAAATATGGTTGAAATTGGAGGATTAATTTGAGAAATTTGGTTGGACAAGTTGGTGAACTTTTGCTTGAATGGTTGTTTGAGAGAGGGAGAGCTCTTTTGACTTATTCTTGCACCTCTTGTTACCCTTGTCCGAGCTGGCACTTGCCAAAACCATGATTCGTATATGTATGTTAGAGTTGAGATACAATAAGTGTAGTCCATAGCTTAGTTTCAAGCTTTACATATATGTGGGATTACGATAACTTTCCTTGTCAAGAACATATGCTTTATGTCTCATGTTATGGTAGCCGTGATTTCTTGTGTTTTTGTCATGAAGGTAAGGGTAAACTTGGAAGTTTAGATGAAGGAATTGGGGGTTAAGTGTTACTAAGTTGTGCTTGGTTGGCCGGATGAGCGTGGGCTAGAATGTTAGTTTTATTACCGGAATTTGTATGATGATTTTGACATTCTAAGATACTTGCCTTGATTTTAACATGTGAGTGGGTGTTGAGCCAAAATAAGAGATTTAAGCAAAAGGAAATGAGTTTTCTTCAAATCGTTTTCTAGTCGGACATTTCCAACTTTGCACTTTGAAAGTCTTGTCCCGTTTTCTTTACAAGTCTTGACTATAGCCAACATGTTCTTGCATTGTATCATGCTTGCAATATTGATCGATCATGCATGAGGTTTCTTTTCCCAGATTTGAACAGAAAAACTGTGCACTTTTGAAAGCTATACGGGGGTTAAACCTACAAATTATTTTATTGGCTAAGTGAAGCTTGGAAATTCATAATTTGTATTTATATTGGCACGAAATGGATAGACTCTTGATAGCTTATATGACCACAGGACTTGAGAGAACGAACCAGGGTTTGAAGTGTAAAGATTGAGAATCAGTGGTGAGTGTTCCAACTGCATGTTCCATGCTACTTGTTGCTAAAATTGCTAGGCACTTGATTTGTCATTTCTTAAGCGAGTGTGTACTTTATCGCACTTGACCGATCTCGACTAAACTTTTGATATCTTGTTCATGCATGTACAAGCAATTTGATTTATAAGTGACATGTATCTTGACTTGAAATACTTGATCTTGCATGCGAACTTGCATGTACATGTGCATGATTGTAGGCTGGTTATATATCTTCTTGGAGCAGTTAAACTAAGCCCTTGGACCCTTATCTAAGACGTCGGTTAAGTGGGAATTTGGATTACTCATGTGTATGCATGAATGTAGGTCGGTAATGGCTGAAATGAGCTCTCGTTGGATCTCTTCCTTGAGACTAGCCTTAGAGTGGTCGGGTAAGTTGGGTAACCTTGGGTAAAGGACAAAATTCCTAACCTGTTTACTCATGACTTGAATTCATGACTTGAACTCGTGACATGCTTGATACGGAGTGTTAGGTGACAGCTAACGGCTCCAATCATTACCTGCATGAGCGTTGGATGACAGCCAACGACTCCACTCGTAAATACTTGAATACTTGGCGCTTTAAGCCCATGTTATGAATACTTGAACACGTGGAGCCCAGATCTTGAATACTTGATTACTTGGGGCTATCAGCCCAACCCAGGGCTAGTTAGTCGAATCGAACCGGCAAGGGATTGGTCGAGGAGATTGACGAACCCTGGATACTTGATTGGTGTTCGAGTTCGGGGTGGGGGATGATTGGTAGACGGAGATTGACGTTTAGTGGTGATCTACGGACACTATAATTCCATAGTTGACGGAGAGTCAATGGACCCTGGACAAGTTGCCGTGGTACCTGCTTCTGAGAGCAGACTATATCATTTGATAGGAATGTGATCTTTATTGTACATTATTGCATGATCTATCTGATTACCTGCTTTGCTATATATTATATTATGCCTGCTAGTTTACTTGCATGTTTTCTTGGAACCTCACT